CTCAGACCAGATCAGTGTACCCTCTAACATGCTCTCCCATAGCATCCTGTGTGTCCTTTTGTGTCATATGCCACACGTTTGTCATGTTTTTTGCAAGGCATATATATATATATTCCCTGCTAGAATGTAAGCCCAGTGGGAGTAAGGAACATGTCTATCTTGTCAACTAAGACTGAGTTCTGCTGCTAGGAACAGAGACCCCAAATAACAATCTTATAAGTGAGAGAAGAACATATTTCTGTCTTGCGTACATTTCCTTCAGTAGGCGGTTTAGGGCTGATGGGGCAATCCAGCAGCATCACATTTCTGTGTGCAGCTCTGCTAAGCGTGCTTCCATTCCCACGACCCCAGAGAGCTGAGAACATGGGACCAACCAACCAGGGGGGAGGGATGAATAAGCTGCCCTCTCCATAAGGATGCTCCGGAATTTGTACATACCTCTTCACCTCTGTCCTATTAGCCAAAAAATTAGTCACACGGTCACACCTAGCTTCAGGGGAAGCTGGGAAATGTAGCCTTTATGCTGGGTAGACATGTGCCCAGTTAAAAATTTTTCTAATACTAAGGGATAGAATGGGTATTGGGAGACAGTCGTATACCACTCTATTCCCAACTCCCAGCATGCTGCGTGGTGCACCGTATATTGGCCGAATGAAGAAATGAGCTGAGCACTTATGTATCCATTTGCTAGGGCTGCCATTACAAAGTACTACAAACTGAGTGGCTTAAACAACAGAAATTTATTGTCTCACGGTTCTAGAGGAAGTCCAAGATGGAGGTGCCAGCAGTGTTGGTTCCTTCTTATTGCTGTGAGGGAAAGTCTGTTCCGTTCCTCTCTCCTAGCTTTGGTGGTACACTGACAATCTTTGGCCTCCCTTGGTTTGTAGACCCCTGCCTTTGTCTTTGCATGGTGTTTTCCCTGTGTGCGTGTCTCTGTGCCCTAAATTCCCCTTTTGATAAAGGATAGCATTCATATAGGATGAGGGTCCATTCTAATGATCTCATCTTAACAATTACATCTGCTAGGACCCTATATCCATAGAGGGTCACATTCTGAGGTACTAGCAATTCAGAATTCACAGGAGCTATGAATTTTGGGGGGACACCATTCAACACAATAAAAATGTGTAGGGTCTGTGAATTTTGAGGGGATCACAATTCAACACATAATAACTTGGGATAATTTCATCTACCATCACACAGTCTTTCCAAGGTACCTGGCATTTTGCTGCTCTAGGATGCCCCCGAGTGATACACCCTTTAGTTCCAGAGCAGTGTGGTGTAGCTTAGCCAGTCCCACTCTCCCAGCCCCGGAGGAGAAGTGTGTTCTGTGGAGGCACGGCAGGGCTTACCAAAGGCCTACAATGGTACTGAGTGTTACTGCCCATTGGGAAGCTCCTTCATGGTATGACAGGGTCCCGGGAGCACTCCAGAAAAGTCAATAGGGCCCATGCATTCTTAGCCCTTTGTAGTAAGTGGGAAGTGGCCGCTCTTGGCACCCTCCTGTGGCCCACTGAGATCATACTTAGCACTTGGCACAAGCCAGAAACAGCAGGGCCTGGTGTAGAGTCTTGAAGCCAGGCAGTTAGCTCAGCCCTCCCTCAGCACTGTCCTCACTCCTCACACCTTTTGGGATAAAAAGTATCCCAAAAGGGATAAACTCCTCTGAGGTTGAATATAGTATTTTATTCATTTGTGCCATCCCTATAGCTCCCGTTGGTTAAAGTGGCTCTTGAGTAGAAACTCGATGATTTTTCAAAGAGAAGAGAATGTTGTTATCATCTTGTCAGGAGGGTTGAGATGTAATCATGCCCCAAAGCAGAAGAATTGGTAACTATGAAAGTTTTCCTGTAGTTTATTTTGGCAGCAGGTCCTGGGACCCTAGGAATGTGACAGTTCTGTTGGCTCTTAGCACCGAATGTCAGTAGTCTTTGAAAGCGTAGCTTCGGGAAAAACCCAGAGTTGCCAAATCATGACCCTGACAAAAACAAGGGTTAAGAAATGGCTCTTCTGAAAAAAAAAAAAAAAAAAAGAAATGGCTCATCTGATTTGTGTGAGAGGTGCTTAGTACTGCCTGATGAACCTGGGTGCCGCCCTTCACCCATGCATCCCACATAATGTGAACCAAAGCTCCTGGTCATGCTCATTGATCCCCAGTAATTGAGGGAGCAGCCCTCCTAAGCATTCACACGTTCTTGTTTGAAACACCCTCCCATCGAACTGGATCCGTTTCCTCAACCCACATTCTGAGCCATGCTGGACCGTGCCGCCTTCCCTCCATTCCTGCTCTGCCCACTCACATTGTCCTCCGAAGTAGGGACTCTGCTGGGGCCGCTGCCCGCCCGTTGCAGGATGTTGGCCCAATCATTATTTCTCACTTAGAACATTCCTGTGGCTTCTGGAATATGAATTTGGGCGTGTATCCACTTCCCTAATGTTGCCTTTTTTAAAAGATTCCATCAGACACGTGTGGGGCAAATAGCATGTAGTCATTTCTTTCTGCCCCAAGTCTTAGGCCCTTTGATTTAGATGACCAAGTCCCCACGCCCAAATAGGGAGGCTGCTGCATGGCACAGGCCTACATCAGTGCTTCGCCAAGCCTGGCACCTAGACTCCCAAGGAGCTCATGATTTGGAAACTCAGAAAGGGAAGCTACATCAGGCTTGGGGGAAAGGGGGCATGTGGGAGCATTTCTCAGCCATCCTGCAAGTGGCTGATGTAGGCAAGGAGTCAACGGAAGCACACTTAGCAGCATCTTTTGCCCCGGCTACCATTCTGGTGTGAAAGCACGGTATTTATTATGGCCAAACTAAGGGTGGGGTGGAGTGTTGCATAGACTGTTCCCGTCGGATTCCCCTGGATTTCTATGCTTTGGTTTTTATGGCGGCTGAGATTTCTCCAGTGGGAGCATAGAGGTCACTCCATACAGAGATCCTCACCCTTGTAGCAATCTCTGTCCCACATATGTATCAGTTCAAAGCATTACTGTTTTCATCTCTCTGCCGTGAGTTGTAGAATTAGGCGCATCCATCCCTTGATTTTCAGACTTCCGCTTGACTGTTAATAACAGATTCCATTCATGGAGGAGTAATTGAGAAGAGCAGCCCGAATGACACGGCTTTGCCACCCACAGGAGGAAACAAGGGAAAGCCTTGCTCTGAAATCCCTTGGAGGGTCTGCAGTTGGGCACCTGTTCTGCCGCATCTGATGGGCTCATTTGCGGCGCAGCCTTACCTATGAGAAAGATCTCACAGGACACAGTTCTCTGTTCTAACCTTTTTGTTAATTTTATCTTTTTTCTCCTTTGCTCATTTTTCATGTTCGTTTATCTATATAGTAGGTATAATTTTTTTTCATATCTCAAGAGTGCTCAAGTCCATTGTAGAAAAATTAGAAAATGCAGTTAAGAAAAATAAAATTCTTTTTACACAACATGCTGCCACCTAGGGAAAACAGTCCGTGAACATTCCATTCCCCGTGTTTTTAGGCACTTTTTTTTTTTTTTAAGCTTGCGTTTGCCCTTAACACTGTTTGGGAGTAGCTTTATGTCTGTAAAAATTCATCACTAGACAGCTGGATGGAAGAATCGCGATGTATTTAGACAGCCACACATTACTGGTCATTTAGTTGATTTCCAGTTTTCAATTTTTAGAATCAACAGTTGTGGTCAAATACTTGCACCCATTCTCAGTTGTTTTCTTAGGACAAATTCCTAAATGTGGACTTGCTGAGTCAGAATAATAAACATACATCCTCTCTAACTTGGTATTGTAAAAACTTTAGATGTACATACCACACAGACAAAATACTCCAGCGAGCCCCTGTGCACCCCTTCAACAATTGTAGCTTCTGGTCAGTGCCCCTGTGGTCTCCTTTGCGAAGGAGACTGCCCCTCGTCCCTGCGTGATTCAGGAACAGATCCGAGACATTATGCCAGAAAGACTCATTTCTATCAAATAGCACAGGTATTTGAAAATGGGAGAGAAAAAGTGAACCGTTAGAAAAAAAAAATAAGAAGTTAACATCTTGTCCACGTTACCCACTGCGATGTTTGGGCCCTTTCCATTTTCCTTGCCGTATGTGGGCTCAGGACTCTCCATTTGTCTTCGGATTGCTGAAGCAATCTGGTAACCAGCCTCCTTTCTCTCCCTCTGGATAGGTGTAGACATTTACAAGCCATTTTGTGTCTTGCCAAATTGCCCTCTAGAAAGGCTAATCAAATTTATACTTGCGCCAGAATCGTAGAGGAGTGTCCATGCTGGTGGTTAACATTTTGGATCTTTTCTTTTCCTTTCCTTTCCTTTCTTTTCTTTTCTTTTTCCCCCTCTTTCCTTCCGCCTTCTTCCTTTCTTCTTTCTTCATGAATTTTTAGACCCCGAAACAAGAATCATATCCTTGTTTTAATTAGAACTTATTTGGTTATTAGTGAGGTTAAAGCTCCCCCACCCCCACCATTTCTGTATGAACAGTTGTATTTCCTCTTTGTGAATTGCCTTTTACTAATTTTTCTATTAGGATGATTGTCTTTTAAAAATTGTGTTCATTTTATGTTAATGTCGTAGCGTTGTACTTTTGTCAATGAATTGCTGTGAAGACTTGTTTGGACTAAGGTAACACATACTATACTCATGGGAAAGAATACGTGTGTTTTATAAAGCGAACAGCTCAATGTAGCAGTCATTAACAATCCGAAGGACAGGTATGGGGTGAGGTGCACCAGTGCGGGGCGGCGGGTCTAGGCAGGACCGAGGGGGAGTTTTACAGGTCATTGAATCTTCAGTCTGAGACACCCACAAGGCAGGTAAAGCAGGTAAAGCCGGTATCCTTCCCACTTCACAATGGCTTGTGCAAGGGCACACCTTCATATCTTCCAAGCCCCAGTCTAGGGATTTTTCTACCATATCACAAATGATCTGTGCATTTATTTGTGGAAGGCAAATAAAGCATTAAAATATAACAAACATTAGTGATTATAAAAAAACTCTTTTTTTCCCCTATAGCATGAAGGCCCAGGACCGGGTCATTACGACTTGAAAATACCTCCAGTAAATTCTGTTACTTCCTGTTTTCAATCCAAAGTACCTCGGTTCCTGCCCACTTGTTCTGTGAGTACTCTAAAAAGATGATGGTTGTAGGTTTTGTGACTGGGGTGGGGAGGGCAGTGGGGGTTGGGTTAGAGTTCTAGACAATTCTAGTGTGTATATATGTATCTAATTGCTTGTCGAGGTGGGAAAGAGCACAGAGCTCAAAAATCTGGCAAGCCCCCAGCCCGTTTCATGCTCAGAGTGACTCCAGACCCAAAGGTGGTGGCAGACTTTTGGGTCCAGTTGACAACATCCAGCATAGTAATTAGCCATCAGTGTTATGACCTGGGTGCTCTGTGGGAAAACATGCTTAATGAACTGAGGCAAGCAGTGGGCAGTGGCTGGCCCCATCCATCTGCTGTTCTTTGTGTATGTGGCTTTCAGGGGTGTGTGTGTGTGGCTTCAGAGCAGAAACATTATTATTGGACCAAAGGGGACCATTAAGGCATGAGCCACCATCCTGCCCCCAAGAACTCAGGATAGACAGCGAAGGGGGTCAAGTCCCTGGAGAGACACAGCTACATCGGGGCAGCACTTGAGCCTCAGAGGCCTAGAGAGGACCAAGAAAAATTGCAAAAGCACAACATGGAGCTTATGAACAGTGGCTATTTTTGTAAAAAAAAGAAAAAAATGCTGACAGTTTTCATTCCCATGGCCTTGTTGTTCCCAGTCTGCACCCCAGTTTGAGAGTCCCCAGAACTCACTGGTATGTAACCTTATTTGAGGTGGCTGGGGAGACAGAAATACAAGTTCTGCCTGTGAGAAAATGGGCCCATCCTGGGGGTTCAAGGAAGGGTGGCTGTCCCAGGCCAGCGTCTTGAGGATCTCACTCCAGAGCTACCAACTCTGGTGGTGGCTGGTGTGGTCTTTATCTGGAGGAATACTGGGGAGTCCCTGTTGGTGAAATTAAAAACAGACCCAACAGCAGGAGTTGGTGAGTCCCTCCCACAGATCCTCGCACCCTAGTGGCATTAGCACGATCCAGACACAGATTTCTGTCCAAGCTCACAGGGCTGGGCATCCTCAGGAAGTTGGAGTTATGCTAACCAAACCCCCAGGAAGCTGATAGAGAAGCCAGAAGTTGTAGCTTAAAGTAATTTACAAGTGTCCAGCAAAGGGACTGGTGTGTGGAGCCACTTGCTCTATGGGGTGTCTCCCCTTATAAGAAACTCTTCATCGGAGCCCAAGGACAATCCAAAGTTTGCTCAGTGACAGTGAAATCAGGGCCGGGGGATGGAGCCGGATGTTCTCAAGGTCTGAGAACCACCACTGGTAGCCTCCTGAGGGGTAGCCTTGTGGGACCGAGGCCCACAGACCTCCTGTTCTGTGGGCTGGCTTTCCAGGACTCCACATGCATGTTGCTTCCTCATTAATAGCACTAATAAAGGCTTCAGCTTCCTTTGACGTCTGGCCAGGACTTGATTAGATTTCCAGGGTGCTCCTCCGCTTTTGGCAAGGGAAACATCCTGTCATTTACAGCAGCTTTGGCAGGCAGCTGACTTCATCCACTCTGGGCTGACCACTCGGTCCCACTCTCAGGGTAATCCTATTTCTACCCTCTCCGTCTGCCGGAGAGATAACACACTGCAAAGAAGGATGGAAATGAGAAGCCCATGATAATAGGGAATAATACCAGCGCCGGTAGCTAATGTGCCGAGCTGTGTCTGCCAGCCTGGGGCTCTCTGTCCGGGAGGGCCTCCAGCAAGCCTCATTGCCTCATCTGTTGGGTGAGGCTGAGGAGGCCCAGGGCCCGGGGTCACACCAAGCCATTGCCAGTGGGGCGGTCAAAACCCTTCCCTGAGCCACACACTCGGACACCGATGCTTCAACAGACCCAAGATAAAATCCCTTTGGGCTTCAAGAACATGTACGTGCCCCCCAGCATGGGAAATGCTGACCTAAGAAATCGAAGTCTTTGAGTCTATTAAAATGACATTCAGTTGAATTTGATCACTGTAGAAGCTTCATTGACATCACTGGCAAATTTTTTCAAGAATTTCATCCAAAGGAAAACATGACTTTTAAAAATGGGAACTCGTAGATCCCTTGAGACTACTTTGGACCCTGAGGTCCCTTGAGGTACAGAAACCTGAGTTGAGGCTTTTGAAGTCAATCACCCAGGTTCAGAATCCATTTTCTGCAACCCCTTACCACTAGACTAGCCACTGAGGTGGCTAGAGGGGAGGAGAGCGGCGTTCCCAAGGACAGGAGCTGTCTGGGCAGAGTGCCCACTGAGAGAGTGTGCCTCGAGGGGCGGCTGGGATGTGAGCCCGCTGCCCCGCAGGCCTAGGCCAGAGTTTGCTCGTCGGCCCTTCTCGTGGCACCTCTGGAACCCTGCGGAAAGCCGCGGACAGGAGCAGGCCTCAGCTCCAAGGACGTGCTCCAAGTCGAGGGTGCCCTAGGCCACAGCGCGGTCAGGCGTGGCCCCTGTCCTCCCCAGCGGGGATTTGCCAGTCACGGCTGAGCCCACGGCCGGGCTCAGGGGGCTCCAGAGCGTTGGTGTCCCGGTCTCATCAGTCCCTGTTTTCTGTTCTGTTTTCAGAAAACCCCCGGCCCAGGAGCGTACAAGTCTTCAGTGCAATTCCCCAAGCAGGCCCCCACCATAGCCAAAATGGGCCGAGAGAATAGCCTTTTCTTCAACAACACAATTGGCTTTTAAAATAAAGCCATCTTGGCCCTAAGCTATTTTGAGTTTAGCACGTTCTTCTGTTTCGAAAATTCTATTTTCTGTCCTTTAGGATTGTTTAAACTACGGAACATCATCAACTGCCCAGGTGACCCTCCTGCCTGCCTCTCTGGAACAGTCCCAGCATAATTTCCAGTTCACTCTCGAAAGTGTCCTGGTTTGAATAATAAACCGGGCTCTCTCTGTTTATTGTCAAAGGATGTGTTCCAAGACACTGCCCCTGGGCTGCTCTTGGGGCAACTTGCACAGGCCCTGGTAATGTCCGGGCTGTGCTCTACGTGGCCATGGGCTCTCCAGCTGGGCCCCAACTGCATGAGGGCCATAATGCCTCCCAGCCTCATGGAGGAGTCCTTGGGGTCAGCCTTCAAGGCCAAGCTGAGTGTGCCAGGATCCCCGCAGGTGGTTCTTTCTCTCTCTCAATTCCCTGAAAAGAATAATATTGATTCAACCCAATGGGCGTTTGTGGTTTTAAGTCAACAAAAATATTTGAGTATCTGTGCCAGGTGCGTGCTGGGGTTGAGGACTGTGTGTGTGTGTTGGGGGGCGGGGGATGAATAAGGCATGTGACTGAGTTTGGCGAGGGTTGTAGGGGAGACAGGCCAGAAAGGGAATTTGGAGTAGTCCCTGGCTCCAGGAAGTCTTTGAAAGCTGTGCCATGTGGCTCCTTCCAGTCTCCTGTGTCTGAAGCTCAGGGGCTGCCCTCACATGATGGCAGTTCTACTGGGAAGACAGGCCCTCGTGTCAGGAAGCTGTGAAGTCACTGCTCCTGGTTCGCAAAGGAGACCACAGGCAGGCAGAGCAGGGATGAGGCCGCACGGCCATGAGCGGGGAAGGACAGCCGCATGCAAGGGGCCTGGAGGCTGAGATGCACAGAAAGGAGAGGGAGGAAGGTCAAGGGCAAGGCCCCTGTGTGGGTGAATAGCAGGAATAAACATTTGCTGGAGGGGGACTGAGTGGGCCTGGTCCAACGAGGTGGGGGTGCCATGAGGGTGGGAGGGAGTTGGGCGGGGCTTGGTCAGAAGCTGGGGCCCCAGGCAGCCCTGCATGCGGGGAAGACCTGCTCAGGGAGCCCCAGCTAGACACACCCCCACGCATGACAGCGGGTATCTGGTTGGAGAGATTTCAGGATCATTAATAAATGAAGGGGATTTTTTTTTTAATTAAAAAAAACTAATATAAATGCTTACATTTTGTGGTTTTTTTAAAAAAGATTTTATTTATTTGATAGGGACAGCGAGAGAGGGAACACAAGCAGGGGGAGCGGGAGAGGGAGAAGCAGGCTCCCCGCCGAGCAGGGAGCCCCACACGGGGCCCGATCCCAGGACCCTGGGATCATGACCGGAGCCGAAGGCAGATGCCCAATGGACTGAGCCACCCAGGTGCCCCTATTTTGTTGTATTTTAAAAAGGGAACCATGCCCCCATCTCTCTTCCCTAGCCTTACATAATTATAAGCCTTATAAAAGGGGTGTTGGAGGCAAGAAAAGGTTGTCATCTCAGTGAATTTATTCAAGTTTCTCATTTGTTGGTGAAACTCCCCGTGTTGTGTTCTTTCAGAATAGAGAAGAGCTACTTGGAAGATCAGACGTGTCTCCGGGGTGGTGGCTGATCTTGTCCCACTTTGATCCGAAGATGGCTGCAGGGCGGCTAGTTCCAAATTTTATTCTCCAAGTGGGTCAGAGTCCCCTGCAGGGTCAGAAAGTAACCGTGGGCAGTTCGGAGAGGGGGTTTTCTCTAGGACGCGGTGGCTCAGGTTGCCCCTGGTGCTCAGGGAAAGCGGTTGGTTCTAGAAAGCGAGGGAGGCAAGAGGTGGTCGTGTCTGTCTGGGGGCTCGTGGAGGGAAAGTGAGAGGAACCTCTCATACCAGCAAGAGGTGTAAGTATGTAGGGGTACCTCCCTGACAAGAGTGGGAGCCAGGGGCTGCCTCGGTCTCCCCACTGCTTCTCTCTCAAGCCTGCTTCTGTTCCCTTGGCGGGCCAACCTTTGCTGTCTCTTCACGTGTATAAGACCTATGTGGCTACTCGACCCCCTCCTCACTTCACTTCCCAAGCCAACACGCTGAAAAGAATGTCAGCAGCCCCTCTTGGTTCCAGGATCTGGTTCCCAGGGGAGAGACTCCAGCTGGCCAGCGTGGATCAGGGTCCGCCCCTGGGCCCTTCAGCTGTGGCCAAGAGGGTCGGGGACCCTTGGTGTGGACACAGCTGAGGGGCCCAGCTGTATGGAGTGTGTGTAATTGGGGTGGAGGGCAGTTCTTTGGATTCTAGAAGGGAATGAAGACGCTTTGAGAATCAGGAAGGGAGGGGGTCTTTACCCGCCTGCAGGGAGGTGGTTGGAGAGGCTTACAGAGACTTCCCCTGGAGGTAAAACCACTGGAGCACATTCTGCAGGGCCATCTGGACCCCCTTGTGTTTCGTTTCCATTCGCCAGGCTTTGCCTTTGGCTCCCGTGACTGTCTGTCTTTCTGGAGCTGGGGCTACCTCAGCCCGGCCTGCCTTACCAGTCTTGCCATCTGCCTGTAAAGCAACACTCACCCTCCTTGGTGATTCTAGATGGTAAGACAGTGACTCCGACCTGGGATATTAGCAGGGGGGCTGGTGGGGACAAGGTGGTGAGAAAGGCAATGTTTTACTTCTTTGGCGTATTCCAGTTTGTTTGTTTATTTACTTATTTATTGAGAGAGAATGGTAGAGAGAGAGCATGAGAGAGGGAGGAAGGTCAGAGGGAGAAGCAGACCCCCCGCTGAGCAGGGAGCCCGATGCGGGACTCGATCCCGGGACTCCGGGATCATGACCCGAGCCGAAGGCAGTCGCCCAACCGACTGAGCCACCCAGGCGCCCGTATTCCAGTATTTTTTACAGTATTTCCTACAAGGAGGCAGAGGCTTTCCCAAAGAGACCAGAGGAACTCTGGATGGCTTTTTCCTGCCACAAGCCCCCAAACTGAGACAGTATCTGAAGAGCAGGGCCTCCTCCTGTTCTTTCCAAGATGGAGAGACTGGACAGACCTGGGTTGACTTTGAGCTTCAGCTCTGAGATTGGGATATTCACACCTAGCAACGAGGGCTGCTGTGTGCATCAAATGACATGTCCAGAAGGGCTTAGAAAAGCCCTAGAGCGCCGCGGAGGGAAGGGACCGTGGTGCCTGCCCTAAGCCCCTTGTCCCTCCCCCATCGACTGTTGTGACACAGCTTCTCGAGGCCCCTGTGGTGGCATGCCTGACCATCCTCTGTTCCTCTCCCCTCCCACCCACCCACCCGCAACTGCCCTCTGAATCTGGCTTCAACCAGAGGGCATGGCTCTCCGTGGCTGCAAATATCTTCTACCGTTTCCATGTGAAATTCTCTCTCCATTAAGTCAGAGCATGTCAGAAGTCACAGCACTGGTGGGGACAGCTTGTCCTCCCCTGTCTGCTCTCTTTCCCTTATTCCTCACCCCTACTGCTCTCTGAACCTACAGGGGACACCTTACAGACCTGGAGGCCAAGGGCCACAGGTTGCTTGGGAGCCAGGCCCCGCCTCCAGCATCATCTCTCACCTGCTTCATGCCACTGACCTCTGCAGCACAGAGCCACCTGGACTCAGGGCCCCAGGTCTGGATTATTTTGAAAGCCCTGTTCTCTTGAAAACATAGTTCAAAATCTGTAAGTTCAGAATCAGTGGTTCTAAGCTGCATTTTAGAATCCCCTGGGGAACCTTTAAAAAAATCTTGGTGCTGGGCAGCTCCCAGACAGATCACATGAAACTCTCTGGGGGTAGGACTTAGGCCCAGTATTTTTTTTTTTTTTTTAGGATTTATTTTACTTGTTTGACAGAGAGAGAGCTCAAGTAGGCAGAGAGGCAGGCAGAGGGAGAGGGAGAGGGAGAAGCAGGCTCTCTGCTGAGCAGGGAGCCCGACGTGGGGCTCCATCCCAGGACCCCGGGATCATGACCTGAGCCTAAGGCAGCCGCTTAACCGAGCCACCCAGGCGCCCCTAGGCCCAGTACTTTTTTTTTAAATACTTCCCCACCCCCCCCCCCCCCGCCAACCCCAGGTGACTCTGATGAGCGGCCCAAGTTGAAGACTACTGCTAAGAGGGTATGAAGGCACCATCACCAATAACTCTGTGCGGGGCAAGGGTAGTTTTCCCAACCCTAGAGGTTTAAGGGGAAGAGAGCGCCAGCTATGAAGAAGAGATTGACCCATATTAGCATCTGGCGGAGGCCTGAGGGAAGAGAATGGCACGGGGCTGGTCATTCTGGGTGAAGCTAGTACCTGGAGTGTCATTAGGTAGAGCTTGTCCTGGGTAGAAAGGACCACAGGAGCCCTGAACCCAGGCACGTCTCACCAGCCCGACTCTCGGCGGGGCTCCTCACAGACCTTTGGTTTTGGCCAAGGGCAAGGCTGCAGGCATGCAGAGCCTGTGGGGCCACGGGATTTGGGCTCTAGATTCAGGACCACAGGGGCTGGGTGGGCTTGTGGGGACCAGTGCCAGAGACGCGGAGCCTGGCCCAGCTTACCTGCAGCCTCCCCAGAGAAGAGACAACCCGGATGGCAGGAGGAGCCAAGTCTGCACCCGTGGAGGCTGGGAGGTTGGGTGTGGTGAGTTAGCAAGGGAGGCGAGAGAGCTGGGACACAGAAGTTGGGAAGGAGGGGTAGCCAGAGATAGGGGAGGCGCAGGGGGTGGACACGTGGAGAATCATCTCCCAGTGGGTGCTTCTCGTGGCCTTGTGAACCATACCCTTAGCCAGATCAGTGCCCAGGAAAAGGTGTTACCCTTCTAGAGAGTTGTAGGGGCTCAGAGGCGCCCAACCAGCAGCCCGGGAGGTAGCGACGTGGCTGCTTTGGGTGGGAATGTGGCTTAGTACCTGAGAACTGCAGGCAGGATGGTGGGCTCAGGCCCCCCGACGCTGCATTTCTGGTCAGCAGAGCAGGCTAGGCAGGGACAGGAGGCGAGGATTGACCAGGCATTCCATTCAGTTCACCCCGGTGGGACGGAGAGGCCCCGGACGGGGGCAGGG